GAATAAGATATGTCCCTTATCTGCCACCATGACCATTTAACCTCCACTGCTTCCATCTGTGGTTTTAAATATGAATACGACACTTTGTTCCCATGGCGTCCATGTGCTTAATACTTTTAAGGGCTACCAGCAGTTTTCTTGCTAATGAATGACTCCTGGCAGTAACTCAGGCCCTGTGGGTGGCATGGGGAGGCAGACCTCCAGGACAGCTGGAGGGGAAGTGACAGCTCCTGGCCACCCACGCTGGCCTTGGAGACCAGGCACTGATGGACTGGTTGGCTGTTTGCTCCCACTGCATCCCCCCTCACACCATGCATATGGCGGCTGGCATTCCCTTCTGGTCACTGCCATCCGACACAATTGGAAATGACTGCAGGAGTAAGTCCAGTGCTTTGTCTCTCTGTGCTGGAAATAAGAAAGTGATGATTAAGCTCTACTGAAAAGGGTGAGAGAGTCTGATTTAGATTGGCAGGCAGCATGACTATCTTAGACCAGAGGTTGTCAAAGTTCTTACTTGCCAAGAGATCTTTTGTTGAAAATAAATCGTATACAGGAGGCCTGGGTAAAGCAGACCCAAGCGGGTGTGCTCTTGAGCAAGTGGGGTGTGGGGGTACCTTCCCTGGTCTTGGCTCCGTGCCCCCAGTAGGCTTAGAGGAGCACAAGGACTACTCCCCATCCAGTTCGGAAGCCAAAGACGGATGTTTCAGTAAAGTGCAGTGCGTTGGAGGCTACTGACAGGCAGAGGGTGAACATTTTCTCCCACAGGTACCTCGTGTGACCTTCTGTACCTCATGACTGAATTGTGGTCAAGTGAGACTCGGGAGATTGGAGGCGGAGACTCTGTCTCAGTCATCTCTGATCACCTCCCTGGTGCCCAGCTCGAGCTATTGGATGGGTAAAAGTCTCTGTGATTAATTTAGTTAATGACTTGTTTTGAGGGTACTAACCGTGTTTTAAGGTCTGAAATGGTTTAGTTTGCCAAAAATGAACAGCTTGGCTCCCTCTTTGTTTGCTGAAATCTGGCTCCATGTGGCTAATCTCTTGATTCCAGTGGCAGACGGGGAACTTTCGGGAAGCTGCAGAATGGCTAGGAACACCGAGAGCAGCCCACGTGATGTCCTGCAAGGAGCTGGAGGCCACGTGATGGCAATTTTCAACGGCAAAGCAAAGTGAGATCTAGTTCACACAGAAGGCTGCACGTGTCCACTTGTTTCCAGGATCCAGGCCCTCCTCTCCAACGGAGCAGCGTTCAGAGTGCTCTCGGGGCATCTCTGGACAATGTGCTAATGGGTATCCACACTCACAGATGAGTCAGTCCCTTCACCTGCTAACTTTATGCATGCTTAACATACCCAGGACTGTGCTAAGCATTCCTCATCTATTGCTTTATGGAGTTAGCAAGTCCTGTTGTTGTCTCTATTTTACAGATACAAAAACTAAGGCTTCTGAGACATAATCTTTAAGTAACTTGCCCAAGGTCACTAGGCTCAGTGAGGTCAAGTAACTGTCTCAAGGTCACACAGCTTCATAGGGGCAGAAATGGTTATTTTCACCACATACAACACGCTTTACTACAACACTGAAGAGAGGGTAGAGGATAGAGGGGTTCACTTGGTATTTACAAAGCATCTGCTATACTCCCAGACAGTGTTAATATCTGCTGTCCTGTGCTCCAGGGCTTCACCACTGAACCAAACACACAGGGCTTTCTGCCCGGGGAGGTTACCTTCTGGTGGACTCAACCAGCGTGAGCTCGGCCACCTCATGAAATTATGCCTCACATTTTTGGCCCTGATGATAGCTTACCTCCTTAAGTTGTGGAGCTCATGACACCTGTACCAAACAGTCGCATTTGGCCCCTAATAGTGCTCTTCTTCTTTCAAAATAAAGACAAAAGGAGGAATGGTCAGACTAGTAGCACGACTAACTTAGAAGTTGCTTTTTCACTCTCTGGTGGCAGATGGTGTTTGCAAGACTCATCTGACTCTTAGATGAAGATTGCAAATGCTGCCTCCTTTTATGGTCACACAGCAAGTGGCATTGCTGTGTACATTTTATTTTGGTGTGAGTAAGGCTTATCCTAAGCCTCCAGGGAGGTAAGAGCTGTGTCCTATTCTTTGAACCCCTCTCAAAGTTCTTGGTATCTTCCAAGGCAACTCTCAAGTGCTTGGGATAATATTAATAATATTATTTTATAGCTCTTACAGTGTAATATTAATATGCCATTAATATTAATGACATTAATAACATTTCCTGAGTACTAATTGTGGGCTGGGCACTGGCTCAAACACTCTTTTCGTCCATTATCTCATTTAATTCTCACCATGACCTGCTTGATTTATTATTATTTTCTTATCCCCATTTTATGGATGAGGAAAATGTAGTTCAAGGTCACGCAGTTAGGAGCTGAGTGCCTGGTGGTTCAGCCAGTGTGTCCTGGAAATGAAGATGAAAGGACGTGGGAGTCAGTCTGTGCCGCTCCTGGTCTTCCCTTCGTGCCCCTCCTTTCACAGGCCTTACGACTGGGGCAGGATGCCCGCTCTAGCCCTAACCCTCTCCAGATGATACTCAGCATGGCTCCACTTTCACTGAGGGAACCCCGGGTGTAAGGATCCTTTTGAAGAGTTCTTGCTGAACCCATCTTATGCAAATAGCTATCGAACCTTCAGGATGTTAGCTTATAGGAACAGAAACCCAGAGCCAGTGGCAACATGTGGTGGTGCATTGACATTTTCTTAATTTCTTTGTTAGTATCATTCTTTTTTTTTTTGGTATATTATGGGGGTACAAATTTTAAGGTTTCAATAAATGCCCTTTCCCTCCCTTCCCCCACAAGTCTGAGTTTCCAGCGTGACCATCCCCCAGACGGTGCACATCTCACTCATTATGTATGTATACACCCACCCCCCTCCCCCCTCCCACCTGCCCAATACCCTATTACTGTAGTACCTATGTGTCCACTTAGGTGCTGCTCAGTTAATACCAGTTTGCTGGTGAGTATATGTGGTGCTTGTTTTTCCATTCTTGGGAAACTTCACTTAGTAGTATGGGTTCCAGCTCTAACCAGGAAAATACAAGAGGTGCTATATCACCATTGTTTCTTAGAGCTGAATAGTACTCCATGGTATACATATACCACATTTTATTAATCCATTCTTGGATTGATGGGCACTTGGGCTGTTTCCACAGCCTTGCAATTATGAATTGTGCTGCTATAAACATTCGAGTGCAGGTGTCTTTTTTGTAGAGTGTCATTGGATCTTTTGAGTAGATGCTCCTACACTGCTGGTGGGATTGCAAACTAGTTCAACCTCTGTGGAAAGCAATATGGAGATACCTTAAAGTATCATTCTATTATATAAATTGTTTCCATCCTACTGTACATGCCGTGGTGATGAACTAACTCGGAGTTAGAAAAATGACAGGTTAACTTGCCTTTCATTTGTTTTCCATAATAAATGGAATACTTCCTTGAACACTGAGTCATTAACATTTCAATTTATTCATGCTTTTTCTTTCTGTCGTCCTAATGGCAACATTACATAATTATATCTGCTGTATAACCATCAACGTTGACGGCTCTTTGTATGCCCATACGTGCCATTCCCACCGCCTCTGTTAGCCTGCTGGTTTGAGGAGGCAGTTTGCTTTTTGAGGCCACACTATTTACTTCTGCACATGGACTGTTAAACAGGGACACAAGGCCAGTGAAGTAAGTGAGGATCCAAGCTAACCTGCCTTCTGCTTGCCTCGAACCAGGCGTTGTTCCAAGCACTTCACATGTATTCACTTATTTAATCCGCCTACAACCCTCTGAGGCAGAGTCTATTATTATCATCACATCCACTTCCATAGATGAAGAAGCCGAGACACGGAGACATTAAGCAACTTGCTCAAGGTCACAGTAGGTTAGTAAGTGGCCGGGCCAGGCTTTACACCTACGCAGTCTGGCTCCAGCATGGGCCACCTTTATGTCCAAGGTCTGCTCTGTTCATAGCTTTCCTTCTCCTCCGTGATCTGTGTCTTACAGATCAACCAGTATTACTGCTGGGTTGGATCTTTGGGTTAAAAAGGGAAAAAAGTGGCAAAATGGTAATGGCATGATTAACTACTCTTTCTTATCCTTGCTTTCAACCTCCGTATTGTGGTTTTTGCCTAAAGACCCGGGGCCTTCGAGAAGTTGTTAGGTTTAAAACACATGAAGGATAAAACAAGCATGCATTTTAATGAACGAGTTTTAAATGTCCCCACCCCAGGTTTTACCATTTGGAGATCAGGAGTGAGGCCATATGCAGGCCATCAGGCATTCCTGAAAATAAGGACACTTTCCGAATGTATTGGTTTCACTATTTTAAATTGCAGGTGAGCTTTCAAGCTGGTTTCCACCAATCAGGCCCTGAATAGTGCTTCATTGCACTCGTGGTGCACACCAAACTCTGTCTGGGCACACGTCAGGAGGGAACCTAAGGTAGCAACAGAGATGTGTGCATGTTCCCTTTAAACTGATACATCAAAATAATTATGCCTGTGCTTTTGGCCTTAGTGGCGCAAACCCAGGCTACTGATGTGGTAAGGGAAAGAGGCTCAGAGGAATATTTTAATTTTAGAAAACAGGTCTCACTGTCAAAGGAATTGCCCTTTTTAATTCATTAAAAAATTATCACATTCCTTTGAAATGAAAGTAAAAACTAATATTTCTTAATGCTTGTTCATCATTAATATTATGCCAATTACTGCATTACTCTTGGCTGATAAATATTCAGAGGATAAATGAAGCCCACAAGATGGATTTATTCTCCAGCAGTACAAACAAAAACTTTCAATATTTTATATCACATAATTAAATGCCGTTTGTTGTTTCTAGAACCAGAACTTGGGACATGCTAATTAATTGCTTCAAGAAGACAGTTAGACATGTGTCATGATTGCTATACAGAATCAGATATTTATAAACCCTGCACAACACTGTGTATGATTTACACTTGCAGGATAAATCCTACCTGCAGAAGTCTGGGGGCACCATGCCATAAACATTGATCCTGTCACACAGCTCCAGCGCAATCGTCATTGTGAACCAGCCAGTGCTAAGCCAAGTGTTGGAGATCTTCCTGGAAGGAACAACAATTAAGTCTGCAAGCTGGTAAAGTAATCATTATACTTTTTTGGATCATTATACCTTTTTGGAGTAGGGGTGACTATAAACATTCTCTCTCGCTCTCTCTTTCCATTTGATAAATATCTGGAAATTTACCAAATTGAAATCTCTTAGCAAAACCACTATATTCCACAATACAATCATAATTGATGTTGATGCCCCATTATGGTGGGTTTGTGACACTAAAAGATGCTCAAGGGACTTTCTGCATCATCAAAGAGGATGATCAATGCTTCAATGTTTAAGTGCATGTTACCACAACTCAATTTCTTATAGGATGACAAGCCCTGTGTGACAACTCTTTATTAACTAGAATACCTGACTGACTACAAATTCTCCTTGTTTGCCAAGAAGGCTAGATAATGAAGAGCCTATTAAATATGAAGGAACATGTAGATGTGTTTATCTATCTATCTATCTATCTATCAATTGATTGATCAATAGATCTTAGGGTAAAAGCTTGCCTTGAAGCAGGCTAATTCACACCTTGATTGAATGTCTTTCCATAGGAGGAGTACGCTCATTGGGAAGGGGCTGATGATCAAAGGAAAAGAGCCACAGGAATGCTTATATTTGAGCATTTGCATTACTTTACATGTCAGAGCATTTAGGGCCCTCTGAAAATTCTCATTACAATACCAAATATTGACAAAACTCAAGGAATGAATCTGTGTGCTCTACCATTCATGAAGTTGCCCATTCAGATATCAACCATGTGCCAAGTCTAAGGACAACTATGCAGACAAAACATCAAAGTCTAATTTGACCCTGTGAGAGTGACTTGTTGGTCTACCATGCTATACTGCTGTGGAGATTAATTTCAATTCTTCGGGGGTTGCTGCTTTTATATTTTCCTCAGTGCTTATGGCATGCCTCATTAGCCAGTTTCAAGCACCTTATCCCCAAGGTCAGACTGTGGGACATTGCCCTGCCAAAAGCACCATTTGTGATGTGAGTAGCTGAGTTGCAGAAAGGCTCTTCAACTTGCACCATGTGGCACTCCTTGAGAAGAAGGAAGCCTTTTGTTAAGCAGTATGCATCTTTATTTTCATTTTACATAAGGACAAAAAAATCAAAAGGACACTTTTAGTGAGTCCTTGGTTTTGTCAAATACCTGACAGGCATGAGTGATTCCTGAGTTCATGGCTTCCACTTCCTATTTCTTAATCCCTTTGCTCACTTCCATTGTATTAGGACCCAGTAGTATCCCAGGAAGTACATTTAAAAGCTCCGAAAGATGGGAATAGTATGGGCTTGAATCTTATCTGTGTCTATCATAATTAGCTAGATGACTGAGGCAGGTCATTTCTGACCTCTGACCCCTGATTTCTTATCTATAAAGCAGGTGTAGGAAGCTCTATGTCCTGGGCTATTTGAGAACTTAATGAGAGAACACCCAGGAAAAACATCAAGCTTGGTATGTTGATACATGAAGACCCCTTCCTCCTCTCTTGCTTGCTAGGTTGAGCAAATGGGGTAAATAACTCAGCAAACCCTTTCAGTGCTTTTTAGTAGCCATAATGAAGATCTTTCCAACACTCTACTCCCAAGGTCATCTGTAGAGGAACCACCATCAGTAGTCAGGACAGTAATTACAAAAATTCAGAAGCCTCCAGATTACATAGGTATTAATAATTCCCCTTCTCTCTTGCCAGGGCTAAATGTTCCTAAGACCTCTGGGCTGGAGAAGAGCTGACTAATGGCAAAGTGGGGAGGAGGAAGCACCTTCCCTTAAGTTAGAGCCTGTCTTCACCTCTGTGCTGTGACAGTACACCTAACCTGGGTGAGTGGATCACCGGGAGGATGTGGAACGAAGGAAGTGAATGACAGCTCACCTACATCCCAGGACCCCGGCCTGGGAGTCACACCCATGTCCCCTGTGCTTTTAGAGGAGTTTCAAACACCAAACTGGGCTTTTCCCAGGGGCAGAAACCCTCCCACAGCTCTGGCTCTCTTTGGGGTGACGTAATAGAGATCACAAGCCACGGCCTGAAACACAGGAGGATGTGGCTCTCCAGAAAAGGCTCGTGGGTAAATGGGGGGAATACAAAGCAGAGGACCAAAGAAACTAAAGTGAAGGTTCTTTAAAGTGCTGCTTAAAATTCTCCAGACCTCCTGAACAATAGCCTTTTGGGATCACGTGCTATAGAAATGCAACTTCATTGTGCTGTCTTTCTAAAAAAAAATCTGAACACTTTTTCTAACAAAGGAATATCTACTGTTTTTACACTTAATCAGCTGTAATGAAAGAATATGAAGAGCTGTCATGTGCTTATTAGGGAAAATTATCAGATATTCTTTTATATGATGAAATAACACACTGAGCTGATAATTCTATAGTGCACACTAAATTACAATTAAAGGCCTTTCTGCTCCACCAGAATCTCATTTATAATCTCTATGGAAATATTCTTCCTGCAGTTATTTCATTTATGCTTCCTTTATCTAATTACTATAATATTGGTTCTGAATCATATTTTCCTAATGTACCCTTATTCAATTATAAAGTTATTTTCAAGTACAGTTACTTTTTAATATCAAAGAATACCACTTGGCCATCTATGTCATTTGTCATGCTTCTTAATTGCAGATTTTTCCTGAGCCATTTTTTTCTCCATTTTTAGGTAAGGTGAAACTTCTATAAATCATAATCTATTGAATTGTCACATTTCTTCAAAATAGTCCAAATGTATTTCTCGATCATGAGATGTGCGGATTAGAGACTCTACACTTTCTTTCCTCCAATACATGCTACTGTTATGCTGGGTTTCATGAAAAGCATACATAGAGGAAATACCATTATGCCCTAAGTGTTTTTTGTTTTAATTTACAGAAATAGTTTCTGACTTGGTTCTTTTTGCTTTGTGTAGGCTGCAGGTTAATATGGACACATAAGAATACTGAGTCAATAATACACTATCAGCTTCTTTAAGACAGTTTCCTAAAGGTAAGAGGGACGAGGTTTCTGGAAGTGGCAATGTACTTGGGCACCTTACAGATTCATGTGTGATTCCCCTGAGTAGGGGCGGTGGTCACTAGTAGAGGGATGTCTGCAGAAATAGGTCCAGTAGCCAATCCACAAAGTTCTGGCTCCCTTCTTACCAGCTGGGACTACCAGGGAGATGGAATGGACATGGTGAGCAAGAGCTTTTCAGTGGTCAGAAATCAGCGGATTTAATGAGCCGGACATGCCTTGATGTGAGATTGTTTCCTAAAGATCATAAGTGGCCAAAGGGTAGGATGACTTAGTCTCTAACTTAAATCAGCTTAAAATGATTCCTTAAGGAGTCCAGAGCAATGTGTAATTATCCCAAGTAGCTAGCACTGCAGAAGCATTTCAGGAAGACTTAAATTTAGCAATCATTAAACTAAAAGGAGAGAAGCGTTTTCTACTGAAGAGATGGTTTCTACTTATTTCAAATTTTCCATCAAGTGAAAAATGAAATTGTAAATAAGTGCCCTCTTTCTTTATCCCTTATGAAGTGCCTTCTTGGTTACAGAACTTATTTACATGAGCAGTAGTCTCTCTTATTCACAGGTTTTAAAGGTCAACCAAGACAGGCTTTGGTGGCAGCTGGTGGTGACGGCCAGGATCCCCAATGTGGTCTACTGGTGGGACTACCTTGGAGTCTGCGGGGCCTTCCAGGGGAAGAGGCCACAGCGCCAACAGCCAGCCCTTCCTCCCTTTCCTCCCCCATACCCGTGCCCACTCCTGCCGGGCCAGCCCTCAAGCAGTCCCAAGGTGTCTAAGATTTTAAAAGACAGCTCTTCCACACAAAGAATTTGGGGACACTGGACTTTGGTCTGTCTTTTGGGTGCTATTCTCCAATACTCCCAGCTGCCTATGCTAGCCGAATAACAGATTTAGTACTTTTCTAGCCTTTACTTATCATACCCCTTTAGTTTTAGGATAAGCAATCAACTCAATTACAGTTTTTGTAAGGGGAGGGAAAATTACATATTAAATGCACATTAATTATGAAAAGTACAGGTTTTGGAATTCAGGAAACAAGGAAATTTAATGGTTAGACCAGTCAGATGATTGCTAGTCACTAGCCCCTTTTCACATGGAAGGTCTCTGAGGCTCTAAAAGGTCAGATAACTTGTCCAAGGCCATGCGAGTAGAGAGTGATGGAGTCAGAGTTCCAACCACAGCCGTGCATGTGGGCTACCCAAGACAGTGCTACCCTCGATACCCAGTTGTCCTTGTTCCACCTAGGATTGGCCAGCTCATGACCCTTCATCTCTCTGCTTCATCCTGTGGCACTCCTCCCACCCAGCCCTCCAGGCCGTAGCCATGGGGGGCCGTTCTCCAACCCACTGCCTGTTCTCTCACACCGCACTCCTCCCTCCCCCTCCCTGGTCCTTCCTTCCTGGCTAAAGTCTTCTCGGCCTGGGACTCAGCTTAAATACACCTCTTTGAGAAAGTCTTTCCCTCATCTCCTAGACCAGAAATATTTTCAATCTATAGTGAAAAATACATTTTACATCATAATTGGAAAAATGTATATACATCTTCAAACCATATACATATACAACCATATACATATATGGTGTTCATTTTATTTTTTTAAAGTGTGAAATTCAATGGTATTTAGCTTATATTCACAGGATTGTGCAACCATCACCACTAATATTCCAGAATATTTTCATCACCTCAAAAAGAAATGTATATTTATCAATCAGTCAAACTGAAATAAAAGTTTCATGAGACAATACCTTGCCTAACTTACTATGTGAGGTGAATGCTGATATTGTCTGTTCTCGTCTGTTCTGTTCCATTTGATTCTATTCTTCCCATTACATTAGAGAAAAATCTTTCAGTGCCTCACTACGTTGCTCTCACATCTCATTACTGAGTTGTAACTAACAGTTTGGAAAAGACTGCCCTAGACCAGGCCATGCCTCCCTGCCCTGCATGTTACAGACCATTTTCTTCCCCTTGCATGACCCTCAGCACACTGGCCGCTTCCTGGTAGATGTCTAAGACTTGATATTCTTGGAGGGCAGGGTCTTGTGTTTGACTGTGTCCCCAGCGCCAGGTGCAGGCTGAGCAAGTCATAGGTACTCAGTCAATATTGGTTGACTGAATAAATGTTTGCCTTTGAATGGGAAGAAACCCAGACACTTCTTTTTGGTTAGTGTGCACACAAGTAACATGAAATGCAATAAAGCTATTATATTGCACTTCTAACCCCTGTAAGCCAGCAGCTATGTAGTCTTTTTCTCAAAGAACAGGGATTTGGGCTTGAATTATTCATGTAATTATGTCAGTGCTCCCTTTCCCTTTGCCTCATAAACCCAGCCTGAGTAGCCCAGTCACCAGGAGGACCCTATAGGTGGGCTCTATCAGTGCCATGAGCAGTGGGCCTTCAATAAAAACCTTCAGCAAAAGCTCTGTGTTGGGCGACTCAGCCAACGACGACCCTCCCCCTCCCCTGCGATCTCCACTGCCCACCTGCCCTGTGCCTGCGTACCTGTCTTTGCCAGTCTCCTGCTTGAAGAGCTCATCGAACTGCAGCATCTTGTGGCGTGTGATCATGAAGGCCTTCAGCCGGGGCAGCACCTGGCTCAGGAGCTGCAGGTTGTTATAGACCTGGCCCTTGCCATCCCGCCGCATGTAGCTGCTGGGGCCCCAGAAGATGAACACGGTGCCCTGGCTCACGTTGAGCAGGTCGTGGCGGTTGCGGAGGATCCGCTGGATGCTGGAATGCGCGATGACCCTCAGGCTGGTGCGGTTGCCCACGTCGCGCCCGTAGCCGCGCGTGGGGGCGTCATTCATGCGGATGACGCACTCCGTCTGGTCAATCTGGGGGCCTTGCTGACTGCGCAGCAGATGCCCCGAGCTGGTCACCAGAGCACAGTCCCCGCAGTGCATTTTCAGGGGCTGGAAGGCAGGGGGAGAAGGACACTGTCAGGGGCAAATGTCTTGACCCTCCTTGGCACCAGCAGGTTACTTCCCTGTCTCGGGAGTAGGGTGCCGATTTTCCCTCTCCCCCCTCTTCCCCCAGAGTATATGTCCCTTCTGCTATAACTCCATGGACCCTTGCATTCGCTTCTAAATTGGTGACAAGGACATTGGACGAGAGGAAAAGAGAGCTAGCACTGACCTGTCAAACAATAGGCTAAGAGCTATACTGACATTAAACAACCAAATTGACACATCAACCAGCAAGGCTGCTACCACGGTCATGTTACAGATGAGGATACTCAGGCTTAGAGAGGTTAAGCGATTTGCCCAAGGATACGTAACTGGTAATAAAGTCATGTTTTCAAAACTATTTTTTTTAATTCAAAATTACTCCTAAGTTGAAGCAAAGACTGTACTGCAAATTGCTGTGACACTAGTTTTGATGCTCTTAACTCACCTTATTAAAGTGAAGCACTTATTAATATTAATAATATTAATTCTTGGATGCTGTACAAATATGTTTATCCTAAATAAACATCATCTAAGAATCACATGGGAAATGACATGCAGATTGTAATCCCTCAGAGGCTATAATTTTGCAATGACAATTAGGATCATTTACCTCATTTTAAGGGGAGTGGAAGAGAAACTGAGTTAGCTCATCTTCATAAGAGTAAAGAAAGCCTCAAGCTCAGGGCCACAGACCTCATCCAGGAATTGCAGAACCTTCGTCCTTCTCTCATCTGCAGTGAACTCACGCCCTGGGGGAGTCCTGGCCACCTCGTGTCCACCAGGGACATCTGAATGGCAGTGCTCCAGTTGAATGTCCTGAACCAATGATTTGCTTTCTGAACACCTACATTCCGACAAATTAAACATTCCCATGTTCATGTTTAATGAGAAATATCTCTAGTTGCTGTTTGAAGATAATATAATTAGGGCCTGAGGCCAAGGCCAGCAAGTGCAAAAGAAAATGACAGTGAAGATGTTCTGAAGGAACGTTGCATTGTTAGATTTTCCCCAGAGCCTCCGCCCTTTTTCTCTGTTAACTTTGAACAGGACACACTAGCTCCCTGCACAGCCCCAGGAAATCGGGTCCAATTTAGTACTGCATATATTCAGTCTTACAGTTACTCTGGGAGTTTCCTGACACATGGCTCTGTCTTCAGAACTAGGAAGCTACTCCGACTTTCCTCATGGCATGGGGCCCAAGAGCTCTGGGCTGTGACAGGATGGGTCCAGCCTTGTTTCCATCACCTACTAGCTATGGGACCTTGGCAAGTCACTAACCGCCACAAGTCCGAGTTTTCTCATCTCTCAATGAGGATAACACCCTGTTCTACCTCAGCAGAATGAAAAAAAAACTAAGATACACACAGTATTAGATTGAGCCATTTGAAATTGCCAACATCTGACCTACAAAAATAGCAACTGCATGTGGTTGAACCTAGTCCTTAGCATAGGACCTGTCACAGTGATCATTCAATAAACGGTAGGTGCTGTTAGGATTATCGGCCGGCTTGGAGCATATTGCAAATACTCACCAACACAGTGCTAAACACTTTAGGTTTATAATTGACCCAGGGGTTTGTGCATGGAGATTCTACCATTGCATATTCTCATCATTCCTTCAACACTGAATTACTCTGAGGTGACAGGCACTGTGCTAGGCAGTCAGAATGCAAAAATGAAGGGAAAAAAACCCTTCAAAGCTTACACCTTAGTGAGGGACAGTGGGTCAGTAAAAGTGCAGTAACGTTGCATAGTCTGAGGAAAGGGAGCTGTTTGGAGCACAGCAAACCTGGAGGACAAAGAGTGGCCAATTAACTAGTATTTACTGAGTGCTATGTGCCAGGCACTGTTCTGAGCTTTATAAAATATAATTGCATTAATCCTTCAAATAATGCTATAAGATGCTAGATTATCACCCCCATTTTACAAATGAGAATATTGAAGGATAAAAAAGTGAAGTGATATGCAGTTTGCTCAAGATCATACTGTTAGGAGGTGGTGGTGTTGGAATTTGAACCCAGGAAATCTGACTGCAAAGTCAATGGGATTAACCAGCATATCATTGCAGTGTAGTAAAGTAAGTGTCATGGAATGTTTGTTTACCTCACTGTCTTCCTCCTCTCCTCCCTCCTAGAAACTAAGTGATGCTATTTTTAAATCAGTAGTTTTGTTGCCACTCTGAAGGCATTGGGCTGGATGGATGCCATGAAGTGACAAGTGTCTTCTATCCAATACATCCATTCTTCAGAGGATCATTCACAGCAGATTCATCCAACTAGGACATGGAGTCCATGATGGTGAAAAGTGATTAAGACCAAATCTTCCTCTTGAGGAACAGCCACATTCCAGATGTCTAGAAAGTCGCCCCATTCCCCTGAGGAAACTACTGGAACCTGGAGTAAAGAGCCCTTCTGAATTGCCTGGGTGAACAGCTAGGGTGAAAGGCAATTTCAGTGGCCAAAGAATGGAAGAAATACTTAACTTTCCTTTCCCTTGTTTTACCCACACATCCCATATATAAATGATGAAGAGGGAGAGTTCAACAATGATCTACTCAATGACAGATTTTCTGTTATGTACCAGGCACTGAACTTCGTGCTGGGGTGCCCCCCAGACAAATAATCACAGGGATGTGTGGGTAAGTGCTACAATGTAACTAGGCACAGGGGCTGTGGGACCAACAATGAGGGCACATTTGAGCCTATCTATCCAAAAGGGCCAGAGGTGTGGGAGGACAACCAGGAAAGGATTATGCAGTGGGAACCAACTGAGGAGCCTATTTTAAAAAGAAAGGAGTGGTCAACGGTGCCACAGGACAAGTAAAACAAGACTTGAGAAGTGTGATGACTTTGGCCAAAATAGTCTCAGTGGTGACGGAGTTTGACTGTAGTTGAAAGTAAGGAAGTACAGGCCGAAGAGTGACTGCAAAGGGTTGATGGAAGGTCAATGGTGGATTAGGGCAGATGCACAGGACTTGATCGACACTGAAGGGGACTGACCGACCTGGGTTGCCAGGAGCTGTCTAGGTTTTACCACTCAAAGTCCTGCATCCTAGAAAACCTCTCAGTCCCAGGAAAAATAGGATGGTTGGTCACCTTATTGCCACTCACGAAGAAGCCCAGTAAAAAGCTTCCTCTGAAGATAAGGGGCACCTGCAAGCCGCATGTTACTCCATGCAGAAGGTCAGGAGGCCCAGGGCCCAGAGCTCCCTTTTCCACAAACGTACTCAATGCTCTCACCCATTTAAAACAAAGACAGGATCCATTAGACACTCGTGGCCAGATGACATTGATTTGCTCATTCATTCTAAAGACCTTTACTGAGCACTTAACACACTTCTGAGGTTCTGTGTAACTGGTACATTTGCTTAATAAGGTTGCTTTGTAAGTTCATCCCAGCGGACCCCAAGGCCATGGGAACCTGCTTTTTCTCATCAGACTCACTTAGAATTATTCTGAATTTTCCAGTTTGATCTATAATTTTATTATACTCATTATGACTGGGGAAAACATTCTGAAGAAAGGTCCCAGCAGCATCTTTTCCCCATAATTAATTATTCTGCTTTGATTCCCAGAGCAGAGGCTGGTTGGCAGGTAAAACACACATCACCTTAGGGACATTCCAAGGAGCTCGCTCTCTCCTTTGCTCTCTCTCCTCTCGCTCTCTCCTTTGCCCACAGGAGGCCCGCTGAAGGCTCCTTTGCGAAAGGCCAAGCTTCCTGGCCGTGCCTTCCTGACCCTCCGTGATTACTGGACACCAAGACACGCCAGCGCTGACCCCGCCCCTCACGGTTCCTGCCCACGCGCCTCGCCCTGTGCGGTCCATCACCTCCGGCGCCGACACCCACTCTGCGAGTCGTGCAGATGCACCAAACGGGAAAAAAAGATCCGAAGTCTGAATTATGCCTTAAGTGCCTTTTGGTTAGTGGTGCCAATAAAATGACAATAGCTGTTCTAAACATAATGTTACATTTCCAGCAGCTGAGAAGAGCATGTACCAGCCCAGGAAAGGCTGACGCACTTCCAAAGGACGAAATGAAGTCTGTTTACTACTCAGAGGGACTGATGATGTTTTGGAAGGCAGAACGACAAAAAAAACCGTACAGCCGTGTGACCCCATTTCTCAGGAGGTTGCAGGCCCCTGGGAGAGCCGTGGCCCTCCACACCTCAGCTCCGTTATGATCCTTAGCAGCTTAATGGTGTGGGTGAAAATATGCGGGCCTTGCCGAGTATAGATTCCTGATGCAGCATTCACACGTTCTTGGGTGCTGAGTCACTAGGCGGAGGGGGAAGGGGAACCTCCCACCTGCGTGGCACAGAAGCCCCACCCAGCACACAGGAGGGGAGGCGGCTCCCAGGGGACGCACCGCCTGGCAAGGCCTCCCCTCTGGCTTCTTCCTCATGGCGTTCAGCCTCCCAGATTCTTTGGGACATTTTCCTGGAAGCCCCATTTGGTGAGGTGCTCCATGCACCGGTGGGAAGCCTGGGCACCCACATTGTAACAGTTCGGTCTTGGTGATCTCTTTCATCCTGACCCATAAAAGCCACTTAATTCATACTGCATAGATGGACACATAGAAACAGTTATAACGTGGTGCCCTAGCCAACAATCTGCCGAGGAACCCCAGCCCGTGGCGCGGATGCACGGGGAGAAAGGGGAGCGGGCTGTGGAAACCCCTGTCCGCAGAGAAGGAGGCTGCGGCCATTTGCCTCTGAGCGGCCTCCAGGCCCAGGGAGCCGGGATGGCCCGAGCCCAAGGCAATGCCTGGAATTAATGGCTGGCCGGGAAAATGGCCCAGGACACAGTAAGGGCCATTAAGCCCAGCCAGTTATTAATCCCCAGTAAGAGCTTGATGCCAAGGTCATTAGAGCTGTTGTGAGGTGAAAAATGCCCGGGCAAGTCCGGCGCACATGGAGGAGTTGCCGGTTCTCCAGGCCGCTGGTGCTCAGAGCCGCAGGCCCGGG